TAGCCTGGGCTGAGGTACCTCATGGAATTTCCTTGGGAAAACCCACACCAATTCCTGCGCTATAGCCTGGGCTGAGGTACCTCATAGAGGAATAGCTTCAGGGTATTGGGTGGCTTGGTCTATCACCACTAGAATATATTGGTGCCCTCAGGCTGACCTCTCCAGTGGCCCTATCAGGTCTACCCCAGTCCTTTCAAAGGGCTCCCCCAGGACTGGCATTGGCACCAAGGGCCCCATAGGAGCTCCTTTTCCCTGAGTCTTCGGGCATTCGGGACAGGACAAGCAATAGTGCTTAATCTGGGCATAAACCCCTGGCCAATAAAATCTATGAACCAGCCTGTCTGTGGTCTTCCCCACCACTAGGTGACTGGCAGCGGGCAGCACATGTGCTAGTTGTAGGGCAGCCAGCCGAAGGGGTCAGGTGTCGCCAACTGCCTCAGCTCCTCACGTTCGCCTCATGCAGACATAACCCTATCCGACAAGCCCCCTGTGATCTCCACGTAGGGACCATGCCTCGTACCGCTTCCTGTCTTGACCGGTCTTGAGCTTGTCTCAATGCATGGGCTAGGGAGGCACCATTCTGCTGGAGGAAGACCACCTTCTTGAGAGGTACACAGAACTTTAAGGCCTATGTCTTCCTTCTCCCCTGCTAAGATGACCTCAGAGCTCACCTCCTTCCTGAGGTCTTCAAAATGGGGCCAATCCCATCCAATTATCAAACTATAGGCTGGAATAGGGACAACTCCAACCTTACATAGCTGCACCCTTTCCCCTTCTTCCACCTTGGCCCATCAGGCTGAGGATGGTTTAGCGCCCCATGATACACCTAACCTGTGGCACTTCAGCCACAGGGCTTCCCCAAGCTTGCCATGCAGGGGGCAACTGCAGCCTCTGCCTATTAAGGCCTCAGCCTCCTTCCCATCCATCCTGGCCTGAACCCACCAGGCCACTCACCGGTGCAATGCCAGGCCCACGACGTCACACCCTATCACAGCGCAATCACGCCTGAGATGCCCAGCTCGGCCTCAGCATGGACCCCATCAGCAGGGGGAGCAGGTGCAGGGTCCTCCGGTGGGGTGGTGCCCTCGAGTCTCCTGCCCCTTCCGATGGTGGGTGGGTCTGCCACCCTCTCCCGCCCGCTCTGGGACGCAGTGCCACGGCCCATGGGGGCCCTCCATTTCTGCCCTTCCTGCCAGGGTGGCCCCAGTCTGTTCCCCTCAGCTGGTTCCTTGGCCACTACAAAGTCTCCATGAGTACAATGGCATCCTCTGCGGTTTCTGGCTTCTGACACTAACCCAGTTTTGGGCTGGGGCTGGCAGGAGTGTTACAAGTTGTTCCAGCAGAACCAGCTTGGCCACCTGCTCAGTGCTGCAGACTGCTGGCCTCAACCATCTCAAACCATTAGCCCGGATCTTCTGTCCCAGGGCCCTCTGGGGGCGGGGGGGGGGGGGGCAACGGTTGCACAGACCAGCCCTCTCATCACCTGCCTATATGTCTCTTCTGAGAAATTCAGGATCCCCAGGATGGCCGCCTTCACTACAACATATTGGCATATCCACTGCTTCCTGGGCAGGACCTGTGAGACAAGGTGTTGGGATGAGGGCCAACTGTTCTTTGGGCTGCTTGGAGGCCAGGCCTTTCAAACACGTTTAAAAAGTCTTCAGGGTCATCTTCTGCAGTCATCTTAGAGATCTGGATATGGCCTGTGCCTCTTCCTCCGGTTGTCTCACCTTGAGGACCCTGCAGTCCCCCCAGCATTTGCTGGAGCAAGGAACTTTGATTCTGGAGCTGCGCACTGAAAACTTGCTCCGTGAGTCGCGTCTGTTGCGTAGCTAATGGCTGCAACAGGCGCTGCTGCTCCCGGGCCTGGAGCCTTTGCTGCTCAGCCCACCAAGCCATGCAGGAGTCAGCTAGGTGGGTCTGACCTGGGTCCACCCCTGTTGCCCTGCCCACATTCTCCTAACAGGATTAGGAGGGAGCACTGCTTTGAAGGCACCTTGATCCATGTAAACCTGGCCGGTCCTTTTATTTGTACTTTACAGCTTCTGTCACAGCCTCACTGCCTGAAGCGCCAAAGCCCTCTGCTCACCTGGTTCTAGGGCAAAGAGTGGCATTGCCCATGGGGAGCGGAGAGCTGCGGGTCTTGGCCGTAGGGTCTGCCCTCGCTGCTCCTCTCTGGCTGTCTGCGTGTTGCAACAATGCCAGGTGTTTCCAGCCTTCTCTTTTGCGCATCTCCTCATCCTTCCCTGCCCTCCTCTGCTCATTCTCTCCTCTTCTGCCCACCCGCTCCTGTTTGTCCCATCCCTGCCTTTAGTCTCTCCTCCCGGCACAGCTGTCCCTGCCCCGGCTGCCAATCTTGGGCAGCTGTCCGTGCGCCCGCACGTCCCCGCAAACGGAGTCCCACATCTTGCTCCTTCCAAGCAGACTCCTGGCCACGCCCCGTTGTCTCTGGCCGCCCTTTGGTGGCTGCCACGGGAGCCCGACAGTGACTTACATAATCCTCCTCTGGCACTTTGGCATTTTATCCATGCCACAACCCTATGAGGTAGGTTAGTCTGAGAGCCACTTGCTGGCCCAAAATTACCCAAGGAGCTTCACTGCTGAATGGTGAATAGAACCTGGATACTGTAAGCCCCATCCTGACACCCTGACCACTAGATCACACTGCTTCAAAGATCTCCAGCACCACTTTTCAGTTCCGCTAAGTACATCTGATGAAGTGGGTTGTTGCCTAGGTGCCCTTACATCACGAGCAGTTGATTAATCGGGGCGTTAGCAGTAAGATTTACTTTCTGGACAGACATGCCATGTATAAGATCACACTATAAAACTATTTGCCATCTCCTAACGATCTATAATGATTTAGGCTACACAATAAACACCACCAAACAAACACAATAAGAAAAATAATACATAAATAAAAGATTAAAGAATAAAAAGGAATAAATAAAAAGGCTTGCACCAAGAAGAAGCTTTGTGCTAAATCTCTGGTTAAGAAGGGGCTGCTTTCCTTTCTGCCTGATGAAATGATATGCACTTCTCATGCTTCTTTCCCTGGGCCAGGTCCCCCCACTTATTCTGTAACATTTGCATCTGGAGATGAATCCGAAGCCATACCCCACTCGCATAGTTGCGAACCGTTCTTCAGTCTGCATGTATTTATTTAGACCAGCAGTTTTATATTTCACCTTTCCATTCTTAAAATGATCTGCAGATCTTGGTGGAAAGGCAGGATATAAATGTAAAAACAAAATAAAGGCAGTTTACAATTTTAGTTTACAGTTTACAAGACAAATAGAAAACAGAAAGTAAAGTTCATTGTAAGCAGCAGTGCCTAAGTAGGAGAAGGAAAAGGAGAAGAGAGATAACTGAAAGCCAAGTGCTAAAGTCAGCTGGAAAAAA